TTGAAGCTGAACATCCTAGAGGAGATAGATTCAGCGGAAAGTTGCGAATAACGTCATGGAAGCAGCCTTGATTCAGAATGTGCCACAGAGAGATCCTCTATTGATATAAATCGTGTTTGAGCAGGAATGTGAGGATAGGCGATAAAATGCTTTGGCAATTGTTAGAAGGCATTTGCTAATTCTTTTTGTCTTGGAAGCGAACCTTTTTCATGGTGATTTTGGGTAGTTCCAAAGATTTTCTATTGACTGACACTTTGACACTTTATCGCCGTAGCTATCTATCAAACCAAGGAGATCCTGAATGGTACGAGCTTCACCTGGCGGTAAAGGACTATTGCTTCGGTCGAACGGACAGACTTGTGGGAGTAACCGTCCTATCTTTGTCTCGTGCACTCAACCTTGGTGCTACCCCACTGAGGCTCCCCCTTGGCCGAAGACTTCACTATACAGAGACCGGATGGACTGTTCTACGGGTGCTGTCTCAACGCGTGCAAACCGACGAAGTGGCTCGCGAATTTGTGCGAGCCAAATCGGAATGTCGACCGTCTCCAGAGCTCGAAGCAGGAAGTACGGCGTCGACTCAACAAGAATAAATACCTACAGAGAAGGTGTTCCGACCTGTGCCTTTATTACAATTATCAGGAGTTCTCAAGAGCTTGGATTACACACAGTACATTTATCTTGAACAAATTTATGGGGAATTTCCACATGAGGAACCATCCACATACTGCCATCACCACTGATAATGATCGCGTGTACCAATGCCATGACGCAAAAAAGAAAGCGGATAGACACAACAAAAAGAACTAACTTCCTTCGATGCCTGTTATGTACAAAAAAGAAAGACTTAAGTTCATGTACATATTAATTGACTCCCTCACTGACTGCTAGCCTTTTGTACACGTGAGGGACCTGCATCTTTCTTTCCAAGAGACGCTTTATTCCTCCAAAATTCCACTGATGGTTTGGGACTCCCTCGTTACTTTACTATCGATCAGAGTATTACTACTATTATTATTATTACTATTGTTATTATTACTCTTGTTATCACCCAAACGTGATGCCGACCACAACCTCCAGAGCCAGTCAGAACTTGTTGACCAATTGGATCAATGCAACCCAAGATCAATCCATATGTGGTTGTTGATCAGTACTCTTATTTATGAGTTTTTTTCGACCCTCGTCCTTTTCATTGATACCAGAAATATGTTTTGGAAGGATGGGGGAGGGCTATTTTGGAAAGTACCTCCAGTCATACGATGGCTTTCTGTGATAATTAGAATAGTGGTAGGTATCTTAACTACCGAATGTACGCGTAGTATAGAAGTCCGAATATGGACGAATGAATATCGTATATTCTCGTATATCGCGGGCGTACTATATATCGCATCGTAAAACAAAGGCATATAAAAATACACTAAACAGAATGAATAGAATAGAGTCAATGTTCACCACATCCACCACACGTTGAATGAGCGTGCGGGTGTTTATAGTCTCTAATAGGTTGGAACCTTAAACGTTCAGATCTTCTCAATGTCGGATTGTCAGGTTCAGTGTTTGTTTCATGCTCATCAGAACCATCTGTAAGAGAATCAGAAAGGTCATTAGTGTTTGAAGCAACAGACGTATTGTCGCCAAACTGACCTCTAGCATTGAATTCGACCTGATCAACATGCCGTCTGTGACTTGAGAGATCTTCGAGGTCAAGAACCGTGACCATACGATTCCCGTTCCTCCCAATAACAACACCAGTAGATGGACGTAGATCGTTACCCTTGAAAAATGTTACGTCGGCAGTCCCAATGCATTCCAGGTTCGTGCGTAAGGATCTCGACTTGAATAGCTCTGCTGGACTCTTACCAGTAATTGAATGAGCAGCATTCCTGTACTGCATCAAGAAATTATCAATACCTCGATCAAGATCATGAAAAGTAACAGGGGAAATAGAATTGATGGCAGATTTCAAAGTTCGAACAAAATTTTCAGCGAGTCCATTAGACTGTGGATGACGGGGAGCAGTAAATAAATGACGACAACCAAGTCCTTTTAACCAATATTCGAGAGATTTCGCTGTGAAGTGTGAGCCGTTATCAGTGACCAAAACAATTGGTACACCTTCACGACTAAATAGTTTCCTCAAAGCATACTGAGTAAACTCAGAACTCGGGGATGTCGTGAGAAATACTTCCGTCCAGCGTGAATAGGAATCTACAACCACCAGTGCATAATATTTGTTCAAAAATGGACCGCAATAATCTGCATGAATGCGTTGCCATGTTTCACAGGACAATGGCCAAGGAATCCATTTGGATGATTTGGAATGAATTTTGTGTGTACAGTTCATACAATCCTTAGCCGTACGCGCAATGTCTGCATCCAACTCTGGCCACCAACAAGTAAGTCTGGCAAGAGACTTCATTTTGTCGATGCCTAGATGTCCGGAATGCAAATCGGATAAAATGGCACTTCTGTGTGTTGGTGGAATCACGACACGATCGTTATAACACAACAATCCATCAGGTGTCAATGCTAAACTGTCTCGACGAGCATAAAATGCGGGAAATCGACGACGTTCTTGGTGCGTCCATCCTCGTCTTAATGCAGAGATAACGGATGAAAAGTATTTTCGGGTATCACGCACAAGCTCGTCTCGTTTAATCGGAAGCGGTTGTACTAACAAACAATCAGAAACATTAGATTGTGATAAACTTTCTGGAACTCTGGATAGATAATCGACGTGCTGAATGGATTTAGCACCACGATGAATAATGTCATATGTATACGAACTGAGAGCGATGCTCCAACGTTGAACCATGGCTGCGGATGACTTAGCCAATGATTTCATAGGATGGTATATGAATTTCAAGGCTTCATGATCGGTCACAATCGTGAATGGTTTACCAAAAAGATACTTGTGTAGTCTACTTACACCCCAGTAGACAGCAAGAGCTTCACGCTGTGTTTGAGAATAGCCCTGTTCGGCTTGTGTTAGTCGACGGGATGCACAAATGACAGGACGGCCATTTTGTTCGAGAATAACACCTAATCCAGTTGGAGACGCATCAGTTATAACGGTTGAATGATCTTTCGCAGAAAATGGTTTCAAAATAGCGTCAGATTTAAGATAATTGAGTAAAGAACGCAAAGTTTTCTCATGCTCAGATATCCATGAAAATGTTTTCAGAGATAACAGTTCAAATAGACAATAAGCTTTCTGAGAAAAGTTAGGTATGAATCGGGAATAATATTGCAATGCACCAAGTATGGAACGAAGTTCGGACAGATTAGAAGGGGATGGAGCATTGACTAAAGGCGATAAACGTTCATTATCAGGAGAAAAACCATTTCCATCAACAGTGTAGCCTAAACATGATAGTTTGTAAACAGAAAATGCACATTTCGAAGAATTAACGGCAACATTTAAGTCATGAAATCTTTTGAATAATGCAAGCAAGCGTGAATCGTGCGTAACCTTATCGACAGCATGAACTATCACGTCATCTTGATAAGTTACAACACCTTCAAGACCGTCAGTAATTGAATTAATCACATCTTGAAATACAGCAGGAGAGACATTAAGTCCGAATGGCAAGAAATTATACCGATATAATCCAAATGGTGTATTGATGACTGTGCATTCACTAGTAGCATCATCAAGTGGTATCTGCAAGTATGCATCCTTCAAGTCTATTTTTGAAAAGATTTTTGATCCCGCTAGACGATACAACACATCTTCAGGTTCTTCTGTAGCACACGAGCGTTGAAGTAGGCTTTTGTTGAGTGTCAATCGATAATCGCCACAAATTCTAACAGTTTTACCATCAGACTTTAATGGCGTAACAATCGGCGTAGCCCATTTGGAAGACTCGACAGGTGTCAGAATACCTTTTTGGCACAATGAATCTAGAGCTAGACGCACTGGTTCACGCAAACCAAAAGGTACTATACGTCGTTTGAGGAAAATCGGATCACCAGAAACCTCGAGTTTCACTTTTGGTATGCGCATTCCTCCGGTGACTTTGGAGCAGCTCGTGATCAGTTGTTTCAATTCGGTTTCGTTGAAATTTGAAGTAAGTAGTGAAATGTTAACGTTAAGCGCACGTAAAACTTTGAGACCAATTATTGAAGGACCAGAATTCGATACAAGAAAATTACAATCAACAAAGTTACCACTGGAAACTTTGACTGGTATAGTACATGAACCAAGAAGCGGTAAAGCATGTCCAGTGATACCTCTAACAGATAATTGTGTCGGTTTTAAAACAGCAGTAGGATAAAATGCTATAAGATCTGACTCAGGAATAATGGATTCGACGCTGCCAGTATCAATGATAAAACTATGCTTTTTACCAGAGCCTGATATGAGCGTCTTCGACACATGCATAGAATTCGATAAAACAGATAAAGACATGGATGAGATGTTATCAGTCAAAGGCTTGATATCAGAATTTGAGTCGACAGTCAGTCTACAAACTCTTTTGGACTTACATACATCCTGAATATGCCCAATCTTACCACATGAAAAACATTTTGATTGGCGATGTATGCAAGTATATCTGGAGTGGTCCTGTCCACACGAAGCACATTTGCCAAGAACTTTTTTTGGTTGGCGTATTTGACGATTTTGAATGTTCGAATTCAGTTGGTTGTTTTTGTTATGATAACGCATATTGGTTTCAAATTTACCGTGTGGGCGACCTTCCAGCCCTTTCGACTTTAGTGCATTAAATAAAACGGTCTCGTTGCATTTGGTTACTTCTTTAACATCCTGGTATTGCTCGCAAATTTTTCTGATCGATATGAAGCGTTGATCAGTCTGTACTAGGAGCTTTTGTTGTAGATCTGGAAGATTAATTCCGGCAATGAGGCGATCACTCAGTTGGCTTTCAAGTTGTTGGCCGTAGTCACATTTTGCAGCCTGTGTTTGCAGTTGGAGGACAAAATCACGAATACTCTGAGATTCGGATCGAATAAGCGAATTGAATTTCGCTCGTTCTGCGGCCACAAAATTGATAGGCTTAAAATGACTGAGAATTAACTTCTTTAGAACATCGAATGTGCAATCGATCGGCGCCGTAGGGAATGATAAATTCTTCACAAGAGCATAAGCATCCTTCCCAATGTAGTGCAGGAAATAAGCTGTCTTCTTTTTATCATCCAGATCCGATTTGGTAAGACACCAAATGCTGAAGCGTTCCAAATAATCCTCCACCTCCCGTGCAGTTGAATTTACACTGAGCGATTCCAATTCAGATAACATTGTGATGAAGAGAAAAAAATTCCGGATCGCGACGCCAAATGTGATAATTAGAATAGTGGTAGGTATCTTAACTACCGAATGTACGCGTAGTATAGAAGTCCGAATATGGACGAATGAATATCGTATATTCGAGAATATACGATATTCATTCGTCCATATTCGGACTTCTATACTACGCGTACATTCGGTAGTTAAGATACCTACCACCATTCTAATTATCACACTTTCATCCTTGTTATACTCTCCGGACAAGCGAAGAGGATCGTTTATGTAACTTTTTTGCCAGTCCAACGACCACTGCTTAGGAGTGTTTGCATCCATTTGGAGGGCACCGGCATCTAGAGCCCAGGATTTAAATTCGTCCACAAAAAGTAGATGTGACCTTGAAAGAACACGTGGAAGGTCGTTAACATAGATCAGGAACAGAAGTTGTCCCAAAACAGAGCCTTTAGGAACTGCAGTGGACACGAGCACCGAATAAGAGTACGCCTAGCCTTTTTACTCAAAATTTTATTCGATAGGAACACCTCAACCCAGCGTAGCTTTCCGTTGTATCCCGCAAGACTCGAGTTTATTGAGCAGAGATCTGTGTTGGACTCGACCGATTGCCTTTAGGAGATGAAAAAAATTTGGCATCTGATATGGGTCCCTCGCCTTTAGCTTACGCTAAGCTGCTCACAAATAAGAGAATGTTCGTCACGTAAGAATAATTTGGGGTTCCTGATACGGAACTTTGAGTGACGCATAGGTTCGACAACCCCGAATATCATGAGGTAGAATTGGGTTCGTAATTCTACAGTACTGTTTGCACAAGAGTAGGCGACTGTGTACAACAAACCTCAATTGTTTACGTTT